CATTGGTCAGAGAGTCTATCTTTATTCTACTATCGTGTTGTTTAGATCACTGTGGCTTTATAATATAGTTTCAACTTTGAATTTATTACCCATCTTGCTAAAGCTTTTCTAAAACTGCAAAAATGGTGAATTGTTTTACAAACTTTCTATGAGACCAAAATTACCTTGGTACCAAAAGCATTGGATGAAGAAATTAAAAAATAAACCTACATGGAACAGAGTTGTGGCTCAGTGGTGAGCACCTGTCTTGCTGTAGCTCAATGGTAGGCACTAGGTTCAATTTAGTCACAGCAGAAAAATAAAAATTAAAAATATATATAAAGGAGAAAAATATATATACAAAGATGTAATGATGAACATATATGAAAAGGTCCTAAACAAAGTCTTTTTTTAAATTGAATCACCATGAGGTACAGTTACAACATTTTCATGATTGAGTTTCAGTCATACAATTGATGGAACACTCATCCTTCCACCAGTGCATATTTTCCACCACCAATATCACCAATATCCCTAGTACTCCTCCCGTCACCCCCACCTCTCCACTCCCTACCTATGTGGCAGGCAATTTCCTTCTTACTCTCTCTCTACTTTGGGCATCATGGTTTGTAATACAGTTACTGGGAGGCCATCATGTTTGGTCCTTTATCAATTATCAGGACACAACTCCCATCCTGAGAAATTCCTCCAGCCATCATTGACTAAGTGGCCCCTTCTCTATCCCAGCTGCCTTCTCTCCTAGGTCATGAATCAGGCTTCTAACCATGAAGCATTCTTCCTGGTCCTTGTCTCTACTGTCCTTGGGTGTAAGTCTCATATTGTTATTTTATATTCCACAAACGAATAATCATTCTATGTCTGTCCCTCTCTTTCTGACTCATTTCACTCAGCATGTCCATATACTTTTAAGTAAATTTCATGACTTAATCTTTCCTAACAGCTGTATAATATTCTATTGTGTAGATGTGCCAAAATTTATTTAACCAGTCGTCTGTTCTTGGGTATTTGGGTTGTTTTCAAATTCTGGCAATTGTGAATAGTGCTGCAATGAACATACAGATACAGATGTCCTTTCTACTCTGCTTTTTTGCATCCCTGGAATATATTCCCAGAAGTGTTATTGCTAGATCATATAGAAGCTCTGTTTCAAGTTTTTTGAGGAATACCCATATTGGTTTCCAGAAAGGCTGGATCAGTCAGCATTACCACCAAAAATGAAGAGTCTCTTTCTCACCACATCTGCACCAGCATTGATTGTTCTTGTTCTTTTTTGATGTGTGCCAGTCTCTGTGGTGTAAGATGATATCTCATTGCTGTTTTGATTTGCATCTCCCTGATGATTAGTGATGTAGAGCATTTTTTCATGTGCCTTTTTGTTGTTTGTATTTCTTTTTTGAGGAAGTTCATTTCTTCTCCTCATTTTTTGGATGGGATTGGAGGTTTTATAATTGTACAGTTTTACTAATGTCATATATTCTGGATATTAACCCCTTATCTGATGGGTATTGAGTAAATAATTTTTCCCATTCAGTGGACTCTCTCTGTATTTCAGTCAACTGTATCTTTTGAGGTGCTGAAGCTTCTCAGTTTAATGTAGTCCCATTTGTTTATGTTTGTTTCCACTTGCTTGGTCAGTGCTGTTTCATCCTTAAAGATGCCTTCTAAACAAAATCTTAGCAAACGGGATTCAGCAATACATTAAATGCTTCAAATGCCGTGTCCTAATGGGACTTATTTCAGGGATGCTAGTTTTAATATACACAATTCAATTAAGATAATATATCACAAAAGTTGAAAGGAAAGATAAAAATCATATAATAATATCAATAGAAGCAGAGAAAAGTTTTGACAAGAAGTGGACATCTGTTATTGAAAACATAAAATACAAAAATTCTAAAGGCCATGAAAATAGTGTATAGTTACCTCATCCCGACACCAAAAAAGTTCTAAGATCCTTGAACAATCCCTTTGTTACCTTATCATACTTGTGTTCACCTCCTCCTTCTCTACCTCTATCTTCTACCCACCATCTCCCTCTTCCTTTTCCCTTTTCATCTTTCTCTATTCAGGCCTAAGGATTTTTCCACATTTAATACCTTTTTTCCCTTGTCATATTACTCTTTATACCACAAATGGGTCTAGTATTTGCTCTCTTCCCTCTGACTTACGTCACTTAAAATGTCACAAAGTTACAGTGAACTGCAATGATTTCGTCTCACAGGGGAAAGTGGGGATTGGTAGATTTTGTGAGGATGATTATTTTGAATTAGGCCAGGTAATCTTTTACTGGTAAGGGAATGAAGTGTAATGTAGGAAAAGGAAGAGTGTTGAGTGTAGGCATGGAAAAAAGAGAAAAAGACACTTTCATGAGTGAAGTATACAGAGCTAGATACAGTTCTTGAAAGCTGGCAGGAAGCAGTTTGTCCTTATGCATACTAGGCTTCATCTTTCTCAAGGGATTCCATGTGTGCCGATAGTTTTATAGGCACAAAATACTGAAAATTATATTTTAATTTTTTGTTAATTTAGGCACTGTGATTTGCGACGCTATCCATAATAGTTTCAGGCACACCACATTAGAACTCCAGTCTTTCCACCCCAGTGTCAACTTCCCTTCATCAGTATTCCCTTCCCACCTCCCAATCTACCTCCTTAACAGACACATTTTAAAAGTTTAATTTTTGTAGTTTGGGTCCCATGTTTACAGTAGTGTTGCTTATAGATGTTTAGATACACACATAAACCTCCTCTATCAACCACAGATTTGTCCAAGGTCCCTTCCCCAATACTACTGCCAGACAGCTTCTACTTTCTTTTCCTACTTTCTTTTCTATTCCTGGCCTTTTTTTATTGCTGTAACCTAGGGTCAAGAGTTTTCTCTCCTTTAAAATATTCCTTTCATTTGCCATGGTATTCTGTAAATCACATAAGTGAGAACATTCAGTATTTGTCCTTCTGACTTCCCTTAACATGATATCCTTAAATTACAGCTTAGCTGTAGAAAATTGCATGATTCCACAATTCCTGTGACTACATAGTATTCCATTGTGTCCACCTTCATTATTCGCTCATCCATCTGTTGTGGACAACTGGGAAAATTTCATATCTTAGCAACTACATTAAGTGATGCAATGAACAAAGATGTGCATATACTTTTTTGAATGATTTTAAATCTTGGGGTTTGATACCGAGCAGTAAAATCACTGCATCACCTGGAAGTTCTATTCTTGTTTGAGAAATCTACATATTATTCTTCAAAGGAGGTAAAAAAGACAATATTTCCACTGCAGTGAATGGGAGTTCCTTTTTACCACATCCCCATCAACACAGGCTGTTTCTAGTCAAATTGAAAATATTCTAAATTTAAGGTGTCTCCAACAGATAAGTAATTTTGAGACATGCTTTTCAACAGATACTACATAGTTGTTTTCCTAGAAGTACTTTCCTATCCATAATTTCTCACTGTTTTACAACATCCACAAAATAAGAAGTTAAAAATAAAATTTGTTCAAGAGTATGTTGATACATTTAAATAAAAAATTAGACTAGGGATTATTGAAAGTTATTATAAACAGAACTTTACTGATATTCAGAGCTATACTGACATTTTCAAAATTTCAAAATTCCTTATAATTTACAATGTAATTCAAAATTTGTAACACTTTTAAGAATGTTTATATTCGTACATAAATATAAACTGATGGATTTTCTAATACAATAATAATAAGAGCATACAAGTTTCCTTTGAACAATTTTTAAAAATCAGATTATAACCTTCATATTTTAATTGTATGTTAAAAACATTTTGAGCAAAAAACATGTTTCTCACTATTAAAATATTAAACCTGTTGTTTATTTTTACATTGTACTCAGTGATCCTACACATTTTAAGCATTTCCTTCTCAAAACTTTAATTTTCCATATTTTTGTTAAAATTCAGTATCAAAAGAACCACGATAAAAGCATGTGTAAATAGAGTATATCTTCATAACTATAAAAATATATACCCATATATTTTATATTCTTTGATAGTCATTTCTTATACTAATTCATTTAATAGTATTTTATTAATAATTTTATATGTTATAAGATAAACTACATGTGATTATTAATTTGTTATATGTATAATATTATTAGAGGAGAATAGTAAAAATTGTTATCAGGTGAAGCCAAATTTGGAAAGCGTTGAAAGTGCCTTGTAAAATCCTTTTAAATATAGTGGTAAAAGCACCATGTAAGGCACATATAAATACAATGTATAGGAAAATATTTGATTTGCTTAGATTGTACGTGCATTATTTGTACTAAAATTTAAAGCCACGACTTTAAAAAGCATAAGTGTTATATAGGATAGGCACTTAAGGGATAAAACAAGGTTCTAGATGCTTTCCTTTGGAAGTCATGCTGTATACTTAGTGTAATATTTTAAATAGTAAGATATTAGTTTTAAAATAATTATTTTCAAATAACCACCTTTATTCATATGGGTTTCTAAAAGAGATTAGAATCAAAGACCTTGATCCATTCAACATTTTTAGGAAGACAAATAGTAAAATGGCATCTGGCATCTGGAAGGATAGCTACATTCTAATCCCAAGTTGTTTATTTTTTAAACAAAGTCATCTCCGGATCTGTTTAGGAAGGGGAAAAGAAATTGTACAAAGGAGCCCAAGAGTGTCATTTTCACTGAAGTAGCTTTCACACAAAAGCAATGTAAGGCAACGATCAACACTAGCTTTTGAAGAGCTAAAATGTATTTCTAAAAGTCTGTTTTGAGGTTTGTGAGAAATAGATCGGATCTTTTTCCCCCTCTCCCAAAGTATGTATGGTATATATGCTAACATACTGAATTCATCCTTCATGCAATTCCAGTCTATTAAAGAGATTAAAATTTTATAAAACTCTGATAGGATATGGTTTTAATGCTTCATCACACTACCCATCATTTGCTTTTCAATCTAGATCAGAATGATCTTTCCTATTTCCCTGCAATCACCTACCTGCACAGCAAGTATTTTCTCAACACTCTCCTGAGAGAATGACTGGAACTGGGCCAGTTTCACCTGGCTGTAGAGGAGTACCAGTTCGAAGTACTTCTGCCACACCTTGAATATACTTCTTTGCAGCTCACAGAGCTAAAGGGAAAAGGAGGGGGGAAAAACACAAGTCAGAGTAGGAGAGGAAATTAATGGCAGTGTTCAAGAAGAATGATGGAGAGAAATATAGAAAGCAGTCAATAGCCCATTCTGCACTGCGCGGACCTGACAGGAATTTCACAGTCTCTTGATTTTTCAGCCCACTCATGTGCATTCATCAGAAACCAGTCACATCTGGCCGCCAGGATGGGGGGTTAATTTTCTCTAAATGCCTCAGCAGTTTTGTTCTAGCTGAGGCAAACTCTGTGACTGCAAAGCTGATGAGTAAAATATTTCTACTTCACCCAGTTTAACTCAAAACCGATAGCCTCAGGACATATTGAACCTTTCTTTAAAAAAATAATCTTTTGAAGCTTTTTTGAATGGCACATCAGGTCAAGCCAAAGTTTAAAAATGCAACTTTAAGACTTTGATGGACACCGTTGCTCCTTTTTCTCCTCATAAAGCTTACTATTGCTTGGCAATGTGTGCTTTAGAGCATGACAAAACTAAAGAGAATTAACTTAGCCATCAACTGCTGAGGGAGAACAATAACAGGGAAGAAATTTCCAGCTAAAACTCCCTATTAATCTACCTCCCTCTGACTATGAGACATGGAAACATTTCACTGCAATGAAAAACAGTGGACGCGATGTTTAGAAATCAAGTTTACAACTGAATCTATACAGAAAGAGGAAGACTACTGTTATAAGACATTCTATATCCTTGAAAGCTTAAGATAAAACCAAATTAAAACCTCTAGCAGAAGTTTTACCAAGACCATCTACATTTGTTCTTTCATCAGTTACTATAGCTACATCATACAAAATGGCTATAATTTAATTATTTTCAAAAATCAATGCTAAAAACACTATTAAAACTTTTACATATAATCTGTTCTGTCACAAAAAACAACTTCTGTTTTAGGTCATAGGAACATTTGTTTATCTTAGTTTCTTAGTTTATTTTGCAAAAAGAATAATTTAAAAAATTGCACCAAAAATTTATTCATAATAGAATAAACACATGATTAAAATATGGTTTCTTATATTTCATTTATTGATCTGGATACTATACATCTTACATGTATGAGATCATTTGTAAAACTTCACCAAACAATACATTTAAAACTTGTGAACTTTCTGTATACAGATCTCAACATAGGAATTTACTTTAAAAGAAATGATTTTAAAAAAATAATTAGCAGGTGTATTTTTAAGTCATAATTATCATCATTATGCATTGCATTTCATTTGCATCTATGAAAATCTACAGAAAAATGAAACTCCTTATTCTTGGAAAACTTATTTGTTTTTTTTTATTGTTGTTTTGTTTCTTTTTTGGTAGTTCTAGGGATCCAACACTGAGCCTCACACATGCAGGTCAAGTGCTCCACATCCCTGCCAAATCCAAATTTACTTTATTAACTGATATAGGAAAGAAAAAATAACCCCCTCAACTAAATATTTCAACTTGTTAAATGCTGAAATTACTTGAAATTAGCTTATGGGCACTGCAGATAAGTTAGGAAATTGGATGAAAAATTAAAATCATGCTTGAAATGAAACTATCAATAAATTTTCTCTGTGATTTTTATATATGTCTATCTGATATATTTTTCTAATTTTAGTTTAATCTTAAAATTTTTTTCATGCTATTTTTGCATCAAATTATCATGAGCTCATCATTATATCAGGAAAAATTAATGTATTAGGTATGATCATAACAAGATGATATCAAAAACTATATTATAGTAGACATAATGTGGTATTTCCCAAAATTCCCCCTACTATAGGTAGTAGTAGCTTTGGGTGCAACTGAGGGTAGCTTTCCATTTGTTTGCTTAAAATAAAAAAGGATTTTAATGTTTTGTTTTGTTTTGTTTCTGAGAAGGGACAGTAGGGCAAATACATCAAAGAATTCTAGAGCTAATAGGGAAAGGGAATAGTTGTGAAGATCATGAAATACCATAAAGTAGCTAGCATTGGTTTTGTATTACTAATGTACAAATCAATAATTTGAATGGTCTTAACTAAATTTGCTTTATCAACAGAATTATAGTAGGAGTTATGTTTAAATTATACATTAACTTTATCTGAAACTGTGAACAAGGACGAACAATTTGATATTTATTGGTAAGTCAACATTAATATTGTGAGAAAAGCAATTATGATAAATGAATAATTTTATAGACCAAAATTTGTGATTTCATGTTGGTTTTACATTACAATGGGAACTGGAAGCTTGAATATTTTGTTTCTTCACAGACCATCCAGTTGAAACTCATTTACTTTGATATAGGGTTATAAACTAAATCATCAGAAAATCATTTTGCGACTAGAATACCTTATTCATGGAAAAATATTTTAAAAGACATGTTGCAGTGTGATTCTTTATACTGAATGACTAATATAACAGAGGATGAGATAAATGTTATGAATGAAGGGAACATATTCTAATAAACAAATGTAATTCACTAAATTAAGCTTGTCTATTGTCTTTTGTCAGTAGAGATTCTAAAGAAATTAGACTTTTGCTGTTTTTTTACAAAGACAAATAACCATCAATTCAGAATTTTTGTCAATGTAGCTATTTTAAACAGGTTAGTTCATGGCTTGCCTGCAGTCTGTGTGGGCTTGTGTTTCTTAATGCTAGTTTACAGATAAGCAACCTATAATTTAAACCAGTTAATTTGGTTAGGTGGCGAGTTGCTTTTATTCTGTTTGGGATTTTGGCCATGTTAGCAGTAAGCAGAATTTGCTTCTGGTCTGTGGCGGACAGGGACCACATCCTGTGATACTTAAGGCTTACTCCTGGCTTTGTGCTCAGGGATCACTTCTGGTATTGCTCAAAGGACCATATGTGGATGGAATTCACCAACACAAGAATATGAACTTTAGGAGGCTAGAAACAGAGATCAGAGATAGAGCACATACATGGCATGTGTGAGATCTTGAGTTTATATCATCAGTACCACATTCTCTCTACCACGGAACTGCTGGGATAGTGGTCCTAAACACTGCCAGGCTGAGCACTGAACCATTAGACTAAGCACTGCTGGACACAGCCCTATAACCCCATAATACATATTGGCTAAAGTCCTACAGCTTTTGTCTTTTTTCCCTGATATTTTAGCAATAATTTATGAATTAAAGATATTTATAAAAACTTCATATGAATATTCAAGGGTTCTGCAGATCTTGGTCACTTCTTTTCTTTTCTTTTTTAAATTTTTTTATTGAATCACCGTGAGAACAGTTACAAAGTTTTCAGATAGAAGTTTCGGTCATACAATGCTCAAACACCCATCCGTTCACCAGTGCATATTTTCCACCACCAAGAGCCCCAATATACCCCCCATACCACCCCTCCTCATGCCTGTGAGGCAAATGATTTCCACTTAACTCGCTCTCTACTTTGATTATATTCATTATTTCGACCTAAGATGCACCATTATTATTTGGAATTTCCTCCCAACAATCAAACCTGCTGAAAAGGCATTGTGAAATAATTTGTTTACTATTGCTGGTTATGAAGACCATATGATGTCTATCGCGGCTGTGAGATTTTGGATTTCTGATATTTTACTAATTAAGTCTGGAGGGATTTCTGCCAGAAGCTGCTGGGTTCTGAATTAGGTCCATGTGCCTCTGCGGCCATGGCCGTACCGGAGAGCCGCTCATGGGGGACAACTCGTGGTCTTGGCAGGGCAAGAAGGACATGTGATTTCCGCCCCTCATCCCATGAGGCTGCAGTTGCCCTGTCAACACTGGCTCATACCTGGCTGTCCAATAAGCTCTGAGGTGGTGGCCACCATGCCACCGGGGGATGAAGGGGAGGGTGGAAAAGACAGAAACCCTTTCCCTCCCAGGGGGCACGGAACCATAGCTTAATGTATAGTCCATTCACATTTGTGCCTGAAGCTGCTGGGTTCTGAATTAGGTTCGTTGTGCCTCTGTGGCCATGGCCGAGCTGGAGAGCTGCTCATGGGGGGAAACTCGTCGGTCACTTATTTTCTTATTTCCAAAATGTTAAGTCATAAATAAAAAAATTAACATCTGTCTACACTTTGTAAGAGATGCATGATCAGTTAGGTATATCTATATCTATCTATATCTATATCATCTATATCTATATCTATTTATCTATATATATATTTTCCTTTAAATGTTTGCAGAGTCTCCTGCCCCCGCACCAGGTTGTCCTCACTGGGGCCCCTTGGAAGGGGGCAGGTTGAGTTTCCCTCCCCACCCCGAGCAGAGCCCCAGCAGCCGAAGACCTCCAGAACCAGCCACAACCACGCTGAGACCACTCTCCACATGCATGAAGGTACCAGCAGAGGAACACAGGCATGCGGGTCCCGGGGCTGAGATCTCCAAGCCTGCTCTGAGCGGGGCTGAGCATCCTCCACCCAGATCCTCCATCTTGCAGTAGCCAGGGGTCACATCCATCAACTGCCCCTGGCGCTAGGTAATCCCATCAACAGCCAAGACCCAGAGACTATAAAACCCAGCTCCCAGAAGCGCATGGCCACATTCGCGGCTGTGTGACATCTTACTATCTCGTTCTTACTTTGGATAACCTGGCAGGCTACCTAATGTAACTTGCCCACACAGCAGAGTCTGGCAAACTCCCTGTGGTGTACCCAATATGCCAAATACCAGTAACAATGATGGGTGTCATTCTCCTAACCCTGAAAGCGCCTTGAATATGGCACTTTTTAAAATCTCAGGGCTAGGACGAAGGAGACATTACTGGTGCCTGCTCAAGGCAATTGACAAACAACAGGATGATCATGATCGTGATTGTGAAATGTTTGCTTCATGTATTCATAGTTTCTTGAAACTTGATAATTTCAAGACAAAAACAAAACCTTTATACAGACATTGAATGCAAGATGAATGAGATCAAACAAGTTCACTGTACATATTAAGGTGCAGCTCTACAACTAACCTTAAAAAGATGCCAAGCCACTGAATCATCCCAGGTAGCTTGATCTT